CCTAATCCTTGACTGGGGATCCTGAATGCTATCATAATAAAAGACTTGTCCTTGATTATTCATATTATTGTATATACTTCTGTAGTACGTCCCTTTCTGTGGACTGAAGATTGTATATTAAACAGAAGAGTTATTGCTTCCTCCAATAAGGACATAAGAAACATGACCTGACAGATTTATTCCATAATGACTCTTTATGTAAGTGATGGGCATTTTATTATTCAGAACTAGATAAAAACATTGCATTTTATCATATCCTTGAATGTCTGCACTTGCTTCTTCTCTTCTTGCGCCACACTGCACTAAACCTTCTTTACTGCTAAATAAATCCTCCCCCACATCTATCAGTATCTCTTTCCTCCATCTCCTCCTACTCCGCTCCCAAGTTTTTGTCTTAGGCCTAGTCTACACTTAAAATTTTGCTCAACAGAACTACATCACTCGCAGATGTGAAAAATTCATACTCGAGAACAAGAACTATGCTGACCTAACCTTCTGTGTGGACACAGCTAGGTTGATGAAGGAATGCTTCTGTCAACCTAGCTACTGACGCGTGGGGAGGTGGATTACTTATAACAATGGAAAAACCATTTCCGCGCTGTAGGAAGCGTCTACACTACAGCTCTCCAGTGCCGTAACTATGCCACTGTAACGCCTGTAGTGTAGACAAGCCCTGAGCCACTCCCTTGAACTCATTCCCACATTCTCAACTTTTTTCCTTCTTTCTCACCAACCTGTACTATTTGCCTTCCAAATATTTTATAGTTGCCACACAGTATTTTTCTGCATTGGTTCTGTATTTTATGGCTTGTAAAGTACATTCTTGAACAGTTAGATCATGTCCTCTGAGGAGTTCTTAGTTTGTTTTCCACAACTCCCGTGTGGTAACACAGTATTCACACTTTCACACTATATAATTAACAGTGCAATACATCTCTTTTGATAACTTATCCTTACAGCCTAATGATCACTACATTTAGATCCAAAAAGCCTTTACTGCCCAAATCAGGCATGTATATGGCAAACAAAATCACCACCGCATAAGGACAGACTAAGTTCTTTTAGGCATATTACAAGCAAGGTCGGTAGGTAATATGATAATTAGATCTAGTTGGCACTCCCACAAACTTTGACATTCAATATACCTGCAGCCAAGTGGTGCTCAAAAAACTGTGAAATCTTATTTTTGATGGGAAAAAGAAAACAATCATTTCCCATTTCATCCTTACAGAATATCTCATCAATAAATATAAAAGGTAGGCCTATAGCAAATAGCTTGTGATCCATGTAACTGATTACCACAAGCAGCAATCACTAAAAGTCAAATTCCACAGCAATAAATTGCATTTATTTTCATAGGTATGATGTACATTGGCTCTATTGCAGTCACCAGGATTCTTTGCTTTCAGTGTCAGAAATTTTGCTGTAATAGATTCATTGTCAGAGCGCAAACAAATGCATTAAGCTCTGCAGGACACAAAAGGCCTGATTCCATATTCTCACTTCCAACATTTCATTTATAAGGTTATAAAAATGGGTAAGTATTATTCCATAATTAAACTCACAACACACCATGCAACACATCCTCATTTATGTATTTCATTGTCATTGAAAACATCAATCCATATTTTAATATGGGATCATTTCCAGTTGGTAGCTTGAAAGGATGCTGTCAGTCTTAAAATAATATTTAAAAAAATTATTTAGCTTTGTTACTAAACTCTTGACACGTAAAATTAATATTTTTATATCTAATGGCTTCTATTGCACTGTTTTGCAACACTAGTGAAAATGGTGATGGATTTATTAATTCCTAGAATATTTTCTGTTTCGCATGCATCTCTGATAGCTATATTATGCTCTCCTTGAAGAAATGGTATCTGAAAGACTACAATAGATACTATGCATTCATAGATATGACTAACTGCATTCTGTATTTTTATTTATGTCATTGCTAAATTATCAGAAGTCTACAAGTTTATTTAATACATATTTACACTTACACTACATTAACCCAGCTTCCTTACTTCAGAACCATCAAGTCCTGACCAACTTTTCACCTCCACACCAGCAAGTGATCCAGTGCAGACCACCACCTCCACTCTGTTTATTCCAATAAGTGGAGTCTCAGCTGTCCACCATGACCACATTCATTAGGCGACTGATGATTTTATATATCCTATCCCCACATCCTGGGTGTGACACTGCACCCCATATTCTTCACAGTGATATTATTATATATATGATATGATTATGGCATAATTATTGTGCATTTTATGCAAGACTGGCCATGTGAGATGTCACTGAACAGGTTATGATTTGCTGAATATGATTATACTATTTGTATGCATGTATCGTTTTTGTTTCTGAAGTTATGAATATTGACTATGTATTTATTTCAAATGTAGTTTCATCTGGGTAACACCCACTAGATAAGATGTTTGATGGTCTCTTCTTAATCACTGGCTAGCACTGATCTTTCTCACAAAGCTAAACAATTCTGCATAACTGAGGGCTTCTCTACAGGTCACTGCAAAGCGCACCAGACGGGTGTGATTTGTAAAGTGCACTAACATGCTGCACTCTAACTGCCCTGTGTAGACCCTGCTGGAGTACTCTAAAAGGTATATTATTCACGTTTATGTAGTCCTGTTTGAAATCGGACTTCTTCAACGCAAATTAGGTGTAGTATGTGTCAGCAGGTCTATATGACGCAATCAGAGTGATGCACGTTAGTGCATTTTACAAATCACACCCCTCTATGGTGTTCTGCTGGCACCATGTAGACAAGCCCTGACATTTTGTGGTTACTGGATGACCTGAATAGAAGGGAGAGCCACAGATCAGGAGAGAAGAGAGCCACAGATCAGGATTTTGGTTTACTGGCAAAGTTGCATAAAGAAACTTGCCAGCTCTATGCACGGACTCTGATCCTAATAGTAATTACTATTAGTAATTACTAAAGATACAATTTGGTCATGGAGGTCACAGATTACATGACTTTAACAGATCTTTGTGACTTCTTCGGCTCCGGCTGTCAGCCCCAGGCGGCGGAGCTCTGGCTTCAGCTTCAGTCCCACCATGACCATACCCTGATTTTGTCCTTTTTTTCCACATAAATGTTCCATTAATTTTACTTAATTTTACCATGACAAAATTGGAACCATAGTGATTAATAATAATTATTTCCTATAATTCAAAGAGGGAAATAACATAGTGTTATGTGAAAACTCAGTTTCTCCTGGAGGGCATATTTCCTCTGTCTTCCAATCTTGGCAGCTCTCATTTGTTTCTACATTACACTGAACTTTTACAACCCTTTTTGCGATGGTTAACGGCAGAGATGATGTTGGTGATTTATTTTTCTTCCAGAAGTTTATAATGAGATTCATTTTGTTCAGAAATGCCATCCCAATAATGTTAAACTGCAATACAAACATATTTTATTTTAATCTTTTAAAAATCTCTATGCATAAAAGAGGCTGCGAAAAGACTGGAGATGCTTTATTGCTACTTGGTTTCTGAAAGAAGAGATAAAAATTCAGTTTTTATTCTGTACTTTAAATGAAATAATCACACTCAGTTACATGATTCTCTCTCTTATATCCCAAATAACTTCCCAACTGCTAAATTGAACAGCTGTTCATATTTTTAAAATTAAAATTTCTCTGCTTACAACTTCCTAAAAATGTCATTCCAACAGAAAAAATATTCAAGCACATCTATGATTCACCAGAGTGAAGCTCCTTCTCAACTCCACTTCACCTTTATCCCCCACTTGAAGTCCTGCTCCCAATCAGCCATCATGTTGCTCATTTACCTAACCCTCTGAAATCTTCAGTCTTTTCTAGTCTTAATTAATCATAATAATCCTGCCATCTGCAAATTTTGCCACCACATTGTTCATTTTTTTTTCAGATCACTGATAAATATAAATTGAACATCTGTCCTTATAAGAATGGAGCATCGCACTGTTAACCTTTTGCCATGTTGAGAATATTTTTTCTTTTTTAGCAAGTTTCTAACCCATGACAGTACTTTAGCTTTCATTCCATGACAACTTTCGTGTTCTTGAATAGCTTTTTGTAAGGGTCTTTGCCAAATGTTTTTTGAATGTCCAAATACCGTAAATAAACATATGTATGCGTACAAGAACGCACAATTTCATTTTATCTATTCTATAAGTAATTACAGCTTGGTAGGTCATTAGATTTTCTCAATCCAACCCAGTTTTTAAAAGAAAACTGCCTTCCAAATATTTACACACTGACTCCATTAGTATATTTGTTATTATTTTGCCAGTATCATTCATCAATTAATTGGCAATTGGTTTCCTGGTTCTTCTCTCCTACCCTTCTTTAAGGTATGTACTATGTATGTCTTTTTAAGAAAAGATAACAATACTGGGAACTAAACAGAATATAATCTGAGAAAAGCAGAGGAGAAAGAGATATGGTGATATTCAGAAAAAAATCTATAAATTCAATAGTAAATACGATTACATTAACTTATCCAAACATATTAAATATAGTCAAGAGAGTAGATAGCATTACAAATGATACATGTGTTTAAAATGCAAACACTTGACAAACAATTAGAGCCTGTTCCTGCTTCCATTCAACTCAATGTCAAAACTACCATTGGCTTCATCATGCAGTATAGCGGCCCTAAAGAGAAACTGGATCAGATAGCAGAAGATTATGCTCCTAACACTCAATTCTCAAACAGAGTGTTTGTACTGTATTTACAGAGGATGCCAAAACTGATGAGGTACACAAGATGGCTAATTATACACATGTGCAAGCATGTTTGTTCAAATATAGTATCTAGCTTTATTAAGGTGTTTTTGTTTTTTTTATTTAACACTTTTCATGTCTTGTTTGGAGGTCAAACTTATGACACAGTTCAGTGAAGAAAAGTAAATACTTGGTATATACAAATTAAAGCAGGTACACAGTGAAACTGTTACTAAATTAAATAATACATATAACTGTACTTACATGAACTCTGAAAGCTTGTACATTGTTATCCAGGAGAAGAATATTGCAGACCACCTCTGTATGTTGTCTGTCTCGTGCCAGCTCAGACGCTCGTACATTGTAGGTTCTGCCAGCAGGCAATCGGAAACGTGCGGTCATTACTATCCACACAAGGTCTTTAGAAAAAACAAAAATGAAAGAAGAAATCCTGTAACTGATATAACTTTAAGAAAGTAAAAGAGCATGACTTAGAAGAAAGCTAATTTCATAAGGAAGCCATTCTGTTGAAAAAGAGACTTATCAAACACATTTCCTATTTCTGTATAAATTGAAAATTAGTAATAAAACCCTGGTACCTAATAATGAAGTATAATATTGCTGCAGTCTTTTTTCAAATCTGAAATGGAAGTTAATTACCTGTACAGTAATTGGAGTTCTTTGAGATGTTTTGTCCATATGAGTATTCCAGTCTAGGTGTAAATGTGCCCCACGTGCCAGAGATTACAGACTTTTTGCTCACATTGTCTATCTGGTCTATACATGATCACCCTTGTGCCTGTTATCGAAGGTATAAAGAGTGGAGCAGGATCAATCAGCACTCCAGTTCCTTCTCTATCATGGTTTCCATAATATTACAGAGGGACTCTGAAGCAGAGGGGAAAGGGGGCAAGTCATGGAATACACATTTGAATGACATCTCAAAGAACTCCAGTTACTTTACAGCAGTGGTCCCCAAACTTTTGAGGGTTGCGCCCCCCTGCTTCCCCCACCAGAGCCAGGACCAGGAGTGGGGCCGCGACTCCGGGAGGGGGAAGGAGGAGATGCGGGCAGACATAAGGGGGGCAAGGCAGGGGCCTCACCTGAGCATGGGTCTGGGGCCGGAGCCGCAGCGAGGGGCTGAGGCTGGGGGCCCGTGGCCAGATGCAGGTCCACTCCAGTCCCCAGCCTCGTCCTCGGGCTAGGATCAGAGCCACGGCCAAGGGCTGACAGCGGAGCCACAGCTGGGCCCACGGCCAAGTGCGGAGCTGCACCGAGGCTGGGGACGGGGTCAGGCACGGGGCTGGGAGCCGGGGCCATGCACCAGGACCACGGCTGGGGCAGGGCTGGGTGGTGCTCCCTTTCCTCTGTGACCCCCTAGGGGGGCGCACCCCACAGTTTGGGGACCTCTACTCTACAGCTAAGTAACCTTCCCTTCTTTCTTCTTCAAGTATTTGTCCATAAGTGTATTCCACTCTAGGTGACTTCCAAGCAGTGATCTAAATATCTACCACAGACTGAAAGACTGCCCTACCAAAAGAGGCATCGGCTGCAGAAGGTGCTACCAACTCAATGTCTGGAGAAGGTATTAAGGAACCCCATGTGGCAGCTTTACAGATATCACTAATGCAGACATTCCTGAGGGAAACTACCAAGATCACCCAGGTCCTGGTTGAATTAACCCTAATATTAGCTGGCGAAACTACCATTGTCAATCATAACATAGCTTAATGTATCCCAACACCCACTTTGATAACCTTTGGGTGGAAACAGGAGTACTCCTCATCTTCAAAATGAGGAAGGAAATGAAGTGTCTCGGAGAAGACCAAAAGAGCTTCAGTCTCTGAAGATAAAAGGCAAGGACCCTTTGAATATCCAGGGTATGTAATCTAGCTTCATCATGATTAGAATATGGTTTAGGAAAAAATATTGGTAAATGAATACCAATGCAAATGAAACTCAGACCAACCTTACGTATAAACTTTGGGTGAGGTCTGAGGGATACCTTGTCGATGGTATCACAATGAAGAAGGGCGGTCTTGATAGACAAGTGAAAGAAAGAACATGAAGCCCAGGGTTCAAATTGGGCCTCTGTAAGAGCTGTCAAAACCCAGCTCCTTCTTCCTCCTGTGTGAAAGGAAATACCTGGAATAGAAACCTTTCCCTCTTTAAGGTGGAAGCACCTCTTTATTACTTAAGAGATGAGAAGCCTCTCATAAGAGGGGTCCCTGAAAAGGGACAGAGAAGGTGTTTGTGTGGGGAGGAGGAAACAAGTGTAGTATGGAACTGAACTGCATAATCAGATGTTATGAACTCTAAGACCCATTTGTCCATTATGTTGTTCCATGACCCCTGAAATAGGACAAGGTGGTTTCCAAATGGCAGGGAAGAAGGCGGCGGCAGATCCAGAAGAAAGATTGGTTTGCAGCTCTCGACCAGCATCTCAAAAGGAATGTTTACTAGTTGTGGCTGGCTGTGAAGAAAAAGCAGGAGCTGTAGACCACCTCTTCTGAAACCTTGGCTGCTTCCTGGGGGGTTCACTAGGCCTCTAGCAGTAGAAACCAGGTGGCACAATCTTTTGTCTAGGGAAAGGCTGAGGTTTATACTATTTCCTCTTTGTTGCAGGACCATATGTGCCGAGGGACAAAAGAGCTGCACTGAATCCTTGCGATTAGTCTTCCAACTGAAACGATTTGGTCCTTCAAATGGAAGAACCTCCACTGTGGCTTGGACCTCTCTTGGGATTCCAAGCAATTGAAGCCACAATGATGCATCACTACAGATGCCGGCATTAAGCACACTGGTTATTTTAAACTGCTAGTTTGAAAAAGAATAATTTTTTCAGACAGAAAGTCTAAATGTTTCACTTCCCTTTCTCATGGGACCACGCTGGAATGCTTAGTCCATTCATTTGCAGCCACCTCCACAACAGAGCCAAGCCCCAGCTAGGAGTATAGCTATTACATCCATTTGGATGGCACATAATATTCCCTGTCTTTTGTCTTAGAATTTGGGTCAATGGAAGCTGGAGTCTGCCAGACTGTTTTCACAGGCTCGAAAGGACCTCGTTAATGGGTAGAACAACTCACCCTGACAGAGTCTCGTGTCAAATGACTAAAAGTTTGTGAGGAGCCGTCTGAATTTCCTCCAGAGGAATTTAGAGTGCATCAGCTACCCTTTTCATGAGGTCCTGAAAGCTCCTATAGTCAGTGGGGCATGATGCTGCTGAAGGGATTACTGTCTCATCCAGAGAAAAGGAGATGACTAATGGTGCCTGCATGTCCTCCTCTGTGAGATGTTCTTCCTCCTCTGAGAGAAATTTGATGAGTTTGCACTGGAGGATCCTGAGGCTGGGTGAACTGTTGTCTGAGTCAGTCTCTCAGTGTGACGGTGTATGAAAGTAGTGTGCCCAAGTATGCTTATTGGGCACAGTACCTCCATACATAAATGTATACTTCCTGACAATAAAGGGGACTCAGGTTTATTAGAGACCTGCAGGTCCTTCAGTACCAGTGCTAATGAAGTTTGCTCAGTTCCAAATGCTTCCCCAGAACCAATGGTTTAGCAGGTGCCAAATGTTTACTTGGTGCCAATGAAGTAGAAGCAGCTGGGGCCGACTTCACTGGTACTGAAGAGGCCTGCATACCAAGGGACTCAGCATTTGGAGCAGGCATAAAGCCCTTCTGTCGCCGTACTGAAAATTTGGTACCATGATCCTTCAAAGCCACAGTAGTATCCATACTGGGCCACAGGGTCTCTCTAGAAGCAAAGAGGAGATTTTGACCTCTTCCCCCTCCCATCTTCCCCAAAGATTTCATGGGGATGTGTGCTCATCTCTTTGGAGAAGTGTTTTTCACTACCTTCTTGTAACTCCCACTGAGACTCCTACAGGTCTCCTTCGAGGAACAGTCCCTGGAACTAATGGACACAGCACTCTTCAACCCTGCAGTCTGTTGTACAGGGGGGTGAGGGGTGTCCAGATGGGCTTGGGTCTAAGGGTGCCCATATGGAGCAGACTAACAAATACACCTGTAGCCTTGCTTCCCTGGATTCTTTTTGTTCTTCCGCAGAACAACTTGCACACACTGCATTTAGCAGGGACATATGACTCCCCCTAAACAAAAAAGGCTGTGAGTTGTGATCACTTTTGAAGGGAAAGGCTCCTTCACAAAGACTCTCAAAATATAAATCCAGGGGATTTGGGGCATTACAAAAAACCTCCTTTACTAGAAAACTAAGGGGAGAAGAGAGTTATAACTCCCTCAAACTATAATTTAAATGCCAAAAGGCAATTTTACACTACCCTATACTACATAAGAACAATTGACTAAAAAAAGTATCTACAGAATGTTCCACAAAATGCTATAAGGTAAGCTAAACAAGTGAGGCTCGGAAGTGCTCCATCTCAGGCCAAGAAACTGGAGTGGCATTTAGTCCAGCACCACCGTCTACGCCGTAAGTAGTCAGTGTGCATGCATGGCCCAAATGGACACTGCTAGCAAAATATCTGCAATCTCTAGCACGTGCACACGTATAGTGGAATGAATATATGGTTAAGCACTTGAAGAAATGTAGGATCTGTATTCAAAACTGTAATTCAAAACTCGCTCTGTAATCTCTCCTTTATTTAACATGCACATATATTTTGATCAAAGTTCTCCTTATATTTAATGCAAATAATATGCTTACCAAAAGGTTAGATGAAATAAATATAGGGCCAGATCCAAAGCCCCACTGAAGTCAGACTTTTTAAGAGTTACAAGTGTCATTGCAATACCAAATCTTTCAGATAACCAACTGTGAGGTTATCACAATATGCTTTAGGACTATGTTAGGGGTTATTAATTTCTCAAGGAGGTTTAAATCATTTGCTGAACACCAACATGTCAGAAATTTAGGATAATATTGGCACAACTTGGGCCATTCCCCACCTCAGGATGGACAGCAGTCTGCTGTGAATGGACCCAACTGCTGGATCCTATGTGCTCCTGAACCAACTGGGACTGGGCAGAGCTAGATCACTGTTGCTAGCTCAGGGTCTTTGAGGCACACTCCTGGATGCAGATGTCATTCCTACAACCCTTCCTTGGAACATGGGGCTCTTCATTCCAGACCTCTTATACCCTGGAACCAGCAACTGAGCCTTCCTGATTCCCCAGTTGTTTATAAACAATCCCTCAGTTTCCCACTGGGTGCTCTGAGCTTCTTAATTAACCAAGTCAGGAACAATGTGACAGGCAAACAAAGAATACAAGGAATTTCTTAGCCATGAGAACTTTACTAAACAGCCCTAGAAAGTTACAGATCTTTGGACGACTACCTAAACAACCTCGTGGGTGTGTGTGACACCCTGTACCCCATGTTCACCACTTTTATATTGTTATGTATATTTTGTACAAAAGTATGCCTTGTGAGGTAT